ATCATGTTTTGGATTCGGCTGGAAGCCAAAACCAGAGGTTGCACCATTGATTCCATTTGCCGTTGTTTTATGCATTAACTTATGAGACCAAATTGTAAGATGCTAAAGGAGGGCAATGATAGCTCGAGACTCTATTGCTGCGAGTTATGCATTGTAGAACTGCCGAGCAATTTGAATTGCTTAGTTCAACATGATCCTCCTCACTTACAATATAGATTCTAATTACCTAATATTGTTCGAGACATCATATTCATGGTTACGATTGAAAATGCTAAATTGTAAATAAGTAGAGATTGTACAAATTCATTCTTAGGTAAACCTATTATCCCTTTGAATATACGTCTTCGGCCTCTGGATTTCCCTTACACTTTCAGTAAGAATTCTACCATCATAGCTGTAATGTAAAAGCTAATCTTATGTGACTTCATCTTCCAAAATAGTGTGATGTTGTTCAAGTACTTGGGATCTACAGATTATTATGACATGATTTTGTTGGAAAAAAAATCCAAAACAATAGAAAATGGAGTTACAGGTTCATATTTGATCTAACATAGAAATAAGACCACAAATTTAATGGAAAACCTCACGTGTTGTGCGCACATCAACATTGCGTGACTCGGTTTTACAAAGCCTCTGTCAAATAAATCTTTTTTGGACGACAAATAAGATAGTTCATTAAATAACAGTAGCAGGCCGATGCATTCAACGAGAATTCCACATCTAATTAGAACACCACACATTTACAACAACTAGTACATGAATTTTGACAACACTGCTGCTTCCCTGCTTTCTCTGTGATTCCATGGGCGGACCTGGGGGGTCCTGGGGGCAAGTTCCCTCCCTTCCTCCCCCAATTTNATAATGGATCGAGCTGAACATGGGTCTAACTCCCCTTGAAATTTTTTTTTTTTTTTTTTTATAAAATCGTGTTTGGTATCAATTGAAATTTTAATCTAAATCAAAGTTAACAATTAATTTTAATAACATATTTCATGAAACCCATAACTATTTAACTTTTATCAAAATTTATTAAAAAAATTAATTTTAATCTCCACCAAACATAGACAAAATCACAATAAATTTGAATTTTGATAACATGATAATTTTAAAAATTCTCCAACGATCGTACGCTAATCAAGTCTACAAATTGCTTATGTCATCCCAAAACTTATTTCGAGAATTACATTATGGGCATATCGAATAGTCCAAACAAATATCGAAAATAATTAAAAATAAATTAAACGCGAGTCTTAAAAAAAGACGTTTAACTCGCATTTTTTAAAAAAAATTCAATTATTTTATTAACATTTATTATTTTTGCGATACAAATTTCACAATGTAATTTTCATCATTTTATTAGGAAATTTTATATGGAATATGATATCAAAAATTTTTGAAATTTTATATCCGAAAAAGTCATATTCCATGTAAATTTTCGGAAGTAAAATTATATGGGGTATGATTTTTTTGGACGTAAATTTTCGATGGTAAAATTTTTCCCAATTTTTTTGAAAGTTCGATTGTGCCCCCCTAACTTTTAAGATCTGCGTCCGCCCCTATGTTTCTGCCTTTTTTTTGTTATCTTCTTCGCTACCGTTTGGCTGCAAATAATACCTTCAACCCGTGTCCTTTGTGGGTACTTAAAGAACAACCGAAGTTGGGAAGAATAGGAGGTTTGGGTTGTGATTTTTTGGGGTAGATTTCATTGGATTTGTACTGAGTCAGGGAAAAATGCCATTGGTGATCAATCTTCCGCTTACATCTGGTATCAAAGCCATTGGTGCGAGATTTTCCAGCCAAAAATAATCAAACCACCCACACTCTGGAACCTTTCATTTTGTTACAGCACGAGAACAAATGGAACAGTTAGTTGACCCAAAAATAATTTTGACTAGATTATTAACTATCATAATAAGAGCATGTTTGGCTAAACTTAAAATCCAATTAAAATTGAAAATATAGTCATTATTGAGTCTCACTCGTCTAATAAAAGTCAACAATAACTGCTAGTTTTTTAATTTTAATCCGATTTTAATCTCTATCAAACAAGCTCTAAATTGGAAAGAGACAAAAAGAAACAAAAACCATTTCTAACTTGCACTATTTAATAATAACGATTAATTTTTCAATTTTAATTCGATTTTAATCTTTATCCAACACACCCTAAGTGTAAAATGGTAACATGGCAGTGCAATCAGCCAATCACCACCACCACAACCTCAAACCACCTATCCCATCGCCATAGCACCCAAAGCTCGTTACAATTCAGTAATTCACCACAGTCATAGCCACTGTCACCATCATTTTCAATCCATTGAATTCACCATATCTCTCACCCCCACTCATTTCTTCACGGGATATCTTTGACCTGCCAAAAATTTGACTGTTCAATTGAGATCAACATCATCGGTGAAATTAGATTGAACCCATTTGCTAAGATTGTTGCTGGGTCGGTATATATAGTAGCTTAAAATGCGAGTGCGATTAACTCATTAACGTGGCGGAATTACGGGGACGCCTAAAGAGGTGTAGGGTGGAGGCAGGGGACATGGGCCTGGGCGCCGGGATGCAAGAGGTGCCTGAGGATGTGTGGGGCGGGGAAGCGTATTCTCCGAGGAAGAACAAGGGACAGGAATAGGAGATGGGAGGTTAGAGGTGGTAGAGAGGTGAGAGTTTGATGTGAATTCGACGTTGGTGCGGAAAGAAGAGAACCCATTTCCATCTCCTCATTTTTTTGTAGGAAATCTTGGTCAGGTAATGTATATGTGTATGTCTGTAACAGAGAGAGAGAGAGTTTTTTGTGTTCCTCAGTGATGCAGCGAACGTGGCAGACGGTTTCTTGGTTTTGTTTTGGGTGTGAGGGAGTGGAGTGGAGAGAAGATGTTTTTTTTTTTTTTCTAAAAAAAATTTAGCCCCCATGTGACTCCCTTTAAAACAAAATAATTTATATCATACTAATATTTAACCACATATTTATACAATAAAATATTTTGTACATAGTCCCAAAATATTTTTCCACTTTTAAACACATATTTTCCAAAAAAATAACTTTAAAATATTATTTTTACATAATAATGACGATCCAATAGGGACTTAATTTTTAACTTATATATGCTTAAAATATAAGGTTATCATTTTTAACCACACATTCATACAACAAAATATTTTACACGTAATCCCAAAATATTTTTCCACTTTTAACCACACATTTTCTAAAAAATAAATATTCAAAATATCATTTCTACACAATAATGACCATAATTTTTAACTTATATATGTATAAAATATAAAATTACAATTTTCAATCACACATTCATACAATAAAATATTTTATACGTAATCCCAAAATATTTTCCCACTTTTAGCCCCGCATTTTTTTTCCCAAAAAATTTCTATTCAAAACATCATTTCTACACAATAATGACATTCAAATAGGGGCTTAATTTTTAACTTATAAATGTATAAAATGTAAAGTTATCATTTTAATTGAAATAGTTAATAATGTGGTCAAAATTCCTTTTTGGGTCAAATGGTCCTTGTACTGTAATAAAATGAAAACTATAACTTTGAAAGACATAAATTCAGAGTGCCACCAATTCCTAGGATAATAGCATTTCTCATACATTTACTGAATTCATATACATTATGATTCTGACACAGCAGTAGTACAGAAACAAATGTTAATTTCCTGACACGACTGATGAAAGTTCATAGAAAAACTTTAGTACAAATGTTTGTACATCCAGCAAAATGCACTTAAACAGTGATAACATAGTTCATGACAAGCAAAACTCAAGAGGTAAATCTTCATCACTTACCAACGTGACATTGTAAACTAAAGTAAATAAGCACTCAAGAGCTACACGAGCAAAACCTCCAGGATCCAAGAGACATTCGAAGAAGACACTGGAAGTAAAAAACTAACCAAGGCCAGCTTATATCCATACAAATTATTCAATTCTGTAAGGACGGTCAAGTGAAAAATAAAACTATTATACCTGTTCAAGTTTCTTCAAAGAACTAACATAAAACCAAATAAAACCAGCAGTCAGATACGCGGACATTCAACTCAAATTCAGCATATAGAATGTGCCGTGAAAATGCAATTTTAATAGCAAGTGACAGGATCAAGATAACCTTGTGAATCAATACTCAATAGATGAAGTTTCAAATTCAGCATATCGAATGTGCCATGAAAATCCAATTTTAACATCAAGTGACAGGATCAAGATAACCTTGTGAATCAATACTCAATAGATGAAGTATTTAAACGAGCACCTTAGGAAACAAGAAATTTAGAACCTGGAGAATATGGAGCAGTATTTAAATTTCTATTGCAACAACCAATACCCTGCATACCTCTAAATTTGCCATGATCTTGTCAAGTCATACACAACAAAGATATAAAAGGCCTTTGGTAGTTTTAAATGCGTATAAACTGCGACTTTACAATACAGGAAAAGGAACAGAGGAGATGACTCGTCTGCACTATTTGATGGAAACAATAAAAATTATTTTTCATCCATCAGCAACAAGATTGCATCTACTTTGGTCAGAAGCAAGTTCCTCAATCAGATTTTTTATGCACATTTACCAGCCCTGGTAAATAGTCGACTGTAAATTAAGCTGATACACAATTAACTCTCCAAAGAGAAAGTTGGTGACATGCAACATGAAACAAGATCTATCATAGTTCGAATGAAATTACACAAAATCAAGCCTACTAATTGAATTCAGACTTTGTCATCTGAAACTTCATATGCAGATTAGTTATTGATTGTTCAGATTATTTATTCTTCTGATCATCTATTTATGTAAGAGCACAGTAAGAAAGTAAAAGCATACTTCAGGAGAGTGAAACTTAACCTGAAACAATATCAAAAGCAATGTAAGCCGTAAACGTATAATGCAGGAAAATGCTATGTAGTCTCAAGATAGATTTTTATTTAAATTTTGATGTTTTATATTTTTTCATCTTCTTTCAGCAGGAATCTGTCAATTCATTTCCCAATATCAAGACCATACAACACGCCAACATACATCTCGATTGAGCCTCGAAAGGAAGTCTCTCTTAACTTGATGAATGTAGAACAAGTTAGCAAACTATCAGAACCAGCTTGATGACAGGTGCCAACTCGCTTCGCGCCCAAGAGCTCTGCAATAGTGTTCAATCCGCCATAAAGATTGTTGCAGAACCTGATCAGATACTTGATATCATAGATAATCGGGAAGTACATCTTGAGCAAATCATAGAACTCAGCTTGAGTCTCAGGCAAACTCTTCCAAGTCAATAGCTTCAACAAGTACCCAAAATCATACGCACTATGAAAAGTCACCCAATGGACCTCATCATTCAATACAACCCCAGACGTCATCAGAAGTTGGCTGAATTCATAAACATGGACACCGTCCTCGCTATTTTTCTTGAAATCAATGCCACTATTGCTTAATAGTTCTATGGAGTCATGCATGTAAACGTCTTCGTCAAGGTTAAATTCACGAAAATTAAACTGCCAAATGCAGTATTTATCAGTTCCACAAGTAGGGAGATTCCCATTTTCATCAGAGAAGGTTAGGCCCAATTGAATTACCTTCAGAAGATCCACATTAGCCTTAAGGGACTTAAAATTTATCTCAGCTCTAGTCTTAAAATCACCTACAGGCCAAATAACAATGCCCGGAAACTCAGTATCCATAGAAATGTACGGGTAATCATCTACAATATCTCGAATTAAAGCAAACTCGGCTTCAAGATTGTCATGCCACACCTCCCTTATATGTATTGTATCACTTGTGGGCGAAGAAACCATTTTCTCATTAAAACCGCAGCACATACGGACAAAAGAGAAACCAAGAAAAGCAGTTCAACAAAATCTGCATAAAGAATTCACCAAGAAACACACAAGAAAAAAACGTATAAATAAAAAAAATCACATAAACACCCAGATCAAAAAAATTAGCAAAAAGATTGAGATCTAACCTTCAAGATGTAAACTTTACACTTATGGTTTAATTTATCCTGTTTAATTTTTTTTGGGCTGTGAAAAAGGAAAATGGTGTAATTTAGGAATTCTTATCTCAAAACGGGATTAAATGGTGATTTTCTGGAGGAAAAAAATATGAGTTCACGCACACGGAGAAACAAAGAGAGGGGGGATTTGAAGTCCCGTCACCTCTCACATTGTAATAGCAAGTGAAGGGTTTGGGTTTTGCATGAAATAAGAGTAAAGAGAAAAACTGGCAGTGTGGGGTTGAATATATATACATACTAGAGCCTCTATGTGTATGTAATATGTATGAATACATCTAGAATTAATAGTGTATTACAAGAATTTGAATAAGGCCCAAAGTTGTAATAATTGCTTTTTTGGGTCTGAGTTTGGGTTGGATTTGAGCTAAGTGGACCGAAAAGTTTACTTCACAGTTATTCGATATTTTTGTCTAGTTGAACAAAATACTAAAATAGCACTAAATAGTAAACTGTACTAGATAGAAAAGAGATGTTAAAATTACTTGAACTAGTCATTTGCAATTATTTATTGGGAAACTTGAAGTCACGGGACCAAACCTTTCATTTGTGTTATCTACGTTGCCAAACATTTCAGAAATTCTCACATGGAGTCCAAATGAATGGTTTTCGTTAGTTTGATCGTTAGATGACTAGAATAATAAAATTTGATACAGGTGCTAGTATAAATCTAATGTATATTCTGTTTACAGGAAATTGGGATTGGGTGAAGTCAAACCAACATCAATAAAGCTACAA